GGGAGGGGAGGGGAGGGGAGGGGAGAGGAGAGGAGAAAGGTCTTATTTCAGAGCCACAATAGAGCCTCCCCCTGCTCGTGTGTGCATACACACACCTTTCCTGTCCTGCCCAGTGTGGCTCTTGAGAAAATCTGAGATCTTCAGATCTTTTCCTTAACACCCTGCATGAGAGACTGCCAAGGCGACTCACAGGACATAGCAATAAAAAAGGAGGAGGGGGGAGATACAGCTCAGCTTCATGGGAAGCTACAATTGCCCACTCAAAAGGCAATGTATATGCTCAAATTAAAAACATCTCCAGAAACTCTGCCTGGACCTCTCCTCTATGCAGCACGTTCGTCTTGGGTTGTAAGAATTATGAAGCAATGCTCACACCCACCACCTGACAGCCATTGGCGACTTGCAGGACCAAGCTCTACAGGGGGCGTGGTACAATTGGAACACTCCCACGTTGCTGGGGGAAGCAGAAAGTGGCCCGGCCATCTTTGGAAAGCTGGCAGGTGTCCGCTGAAACTAAACTGAGGTGTCCCCGTGGATCCTGCCTGTGTGCTCACAGACACGTCCCCAAGGGAACGAATGACCCATGGCTACCATGAAGAAACATGTAGCACCTCTCTACTCCCAAAGGATAAACAGCGCAAGCAACAGTCAGTAGGGGAGATCCCACGGTGTGATGTTTGTATAAAGAGCAATACAATATTAATGGAAAAAAGTAGTCCACGAAGTCATGTGACACCACAAAGAAGCCTCACAGATATGATGGATATGGGGGTAGGCCAGGCTAATCTGTGGCAACAGAGGTCAAGAGAGGTGATTGATTGGCAGAACAGTGGTATTGATCATGAGGATTGGAGGGGACACTAAGGATGAAAAGGATCCTGTCTCTGGGTTCTGCAAGCCAGGTGTCTGTATATTTAACAAATTGAGTCATTCACTTAGAATATGTGCGTTATATGTTTGCTCTGCCTCAATCTGGAACTGTTTGAAGTCTTGCCAAGGTAACACCCTGCCTTTCTTCTCGTTCCAGAAGCTAATCAGAGGGTTACGACACTGTCCCCACAATTTGATAACCTGGGAAGGGATGAAAACCGACAACTTACCGTGTGGGATAAAGATCATAAGGAGGCAGGCTGCCCCTGTCACCAGGTATGATACCGCTACTGGGTAGATGCGACCGATGCGGTCAATGGTGACAAGGATGATGATGGCCGAGGGGAACTCCATCAGAGAAGAAAAAAAGAAGTCCAGGTAGATGTTGTCACCTGTGGCCCCCATGTGCATAATGAGGCCCTGATACAGCACAGCACAAGAGAACCTGCAGCAGAGGACACAAGTCAGAAGCCAGCTCCAAGGAACCCAGCCAGCCGGACAGAAGGGCATGTCACACAGTACAAGATGGACTAGGATAACGTGAAGATTGTCTTACTAGGATCTTTGAGAGGAAATTGTGTTCCTCACAGACATGACAGCGTGTCTTACAGGCATCCTCAAGACACCTACTTTTAAACCCCCCCTCCAGGGTATCTGAAGCAGGAAGATAGGGAGAGATTGCAGGCAGCTGCTCACTCAGGTGTCTGGGACTGTGCTGAGCCCCACACAGTGGCTAACACTCCTACAGGCCCACAAAGCAGAAACCTGGCATCAGGTTGCTTTCTTTGTATGTGTCAGTCTTCCCGTGTGTGAGCGTGATGGTAACAGCATGTAGACTATTGCTCTGTTGTGACTACTGACTGAGGTCTCAGACATAGTGAGCCTACTATAGCTCCTGGCATACAGCAAAGGTGGATATGTGCTCATGGTCTTCAGTGCCATCCTTCCAAAGTCAAGGATCCATGGCTAGGTAGGTCTCTGGCTCCACGGAGCTGCCTTTATCAGACATGGTTCATGTTTTCTCTTTACCCACCATACCAACCCCATCCATATTTGAGAAAAACATGGCAACACCACAGGCCATGTTGCTTACTCATTGAAGACTGCTGCTCAAGTCCAAACGTAGAGGTCACTAAAGGAAAATGATACTATTTTGGAAACTGTCACTATTGCGTAAAACTTGGCCTGGCATGGTAATGTTTTAACCCATAAGAAACTACTGTTTTATCCCAGCATGCACAATGGCTTTCAGCTCTAGTGGTCACACTTAAGAAAAAACTGTATATAACTGGTCAACCAGTCAGTGACTATGTTCTGCCATCTTTTGGCAGACCCCGGAATTGCACATATATTAAAATGAGCAATATATATATATATATATATATATATATATATATATATATATATATA